GAGGGGGTGGCCCCCCCCCCCCCCCCCCCCCGACCTTGCCCAGGGGCCTGGAGAGGCTGTCAGCCCTGCTGGTTTCACAGCAATGAGACTAGCGCCTGAAAAGGCAGCACTTGGCCCAACCCTAGCCAGTTGTGTTCAAACAGTGCCCCAAACACCTGCCCTGAAGAATTTCACATCAAAGCAATCTTTGTTTTAAAAAAGTGAAGTTAGTTCATATCTGAAGATACATGAAGCTTTGACTCTACATGGTGTGAAATTAGAACCAAACAATGAAAGACTTGCTTGCATTTATGTTTGAATTCCCCTGTGTCCCTATTATTATATCTCAGTGTACCATTGGATGAGAATGAGACTCAAGGGATCCTTTTATGTCCTTCTGCCATGAAGCAGTTGCTACTGTTTGTGGTCTTCTGTATGAAGAGTTCTATCTTTTTGATGTTCATATTAATTCTTTTCCTTTTACATGAAGATATATTGTGGGAACCCGGTCATGTCTCATGAGAGTTTGTGACAACAGCATCCTAGTGGTGTAGGAAATGGGGTAATTTTGTGGGGGAAGGGAAGGCAGTAGAAGTAGCATCATCAGGAGACACAGTATGTGTGAATTATGCTGGGCCTGTCCCTCCACTGTCTAAGAAATCTTCCCGAGTCTCAGAATTATGTGCATGAAATCCAGAGAGCAGTTCCATTTTCACTGTTCTTGCAAATGATTTTATTATAAATTACTTTTATTATAAATGTACTGAATGGGGGAAGATTTATAAAGAAGCCTAAAGATGCGGAGAGTTACCTAGTAGGCCTTGCAAAAACACGTAAGGAGTTTAGGTACCTAATTCCCCCTGAAAGCATTTGTAAATCCCACCAAGAACCAATCTGCATCTTTAGGAGCCTTTGTCAATCTAGGTTTGTGTTTTTCTTTTCCCACTATGTGAATGTTCAATTTACAGCATAATTAAACCAGTGATATTAAAATAGTCTCTTCAGTCATTTCTATTGTTATGAATACATTAAAAAGCCCAAGTCTGGAAGAAACACATTCTTTGGATCATATATGGGTGCTTTCGTAGTAATTGGGACCCAGTGTTGGCTCCAAAAACACAATATATATGAATTTCAGAATATAGAGCCTGATTTAACTTTACATGAAGGTCACATTAAACCACAAAGACTGCCTACTGGGGTCTACCATGATTGAGAATTGAGGCCATGTTGTTTTCCCATCTATTCTGAAATGTGGAAAAATTCAGTATGGGGAGTTGTATGCCATTCACAACTATTGCATTTGCAGATAAATTTCAAATTAGGAATAATGCCTATTTCCTTGTGAATATTTTACAGTTGAAGATAACAGCCTGTCTCAAAAGAAAAAGATAACAGTGGAAGATCTATTCAGTGCAGATTTCAAAATTCATGATCCAGAGGCTAAATGGATAAGTGGTGAGTCTCACATGCACACTTGACAATTATTTCACTCTCACTTACTCTTTCCTCTCCCTGTCTTTCTCTTTCCCGAGTTGTGCCATATCCAGATTCTTACCCCAGCTTTCCTCAAGGTGAATATATAAATGATATTTCTCCATTATACACAGCATCACATATATGTCAGTAATACATCTCTATATCATAGTCAGGCCTTAGTCAGAACTGTTGGTAGGTGCCCACCATACATGAAGGCTATGTCTAGATTGCATCCCTTTTTCATAAAAAGGATGCAAATTAGACGTATTGCAATTGCTAATGAAGCGGGGATTTAAATCTCCCTGCTTCATTAGCATAAAAATGGCTGCTGCTTTTTTTTGGCACGGAGCTTTGTCGGAAAAAAGCGCCAGTCTAGACGCGGATCTTTCGGAAAATAAAGCCTTTTCCGAAAGATCCCTTATTCCTCTTAAAATAAGGGATAAGGGATCTTTCGGAAAAGGCTTTATTTTCCAAAAGATCCGCATCTAGACTGGCGCTTTTTTCTGGCAAAGCTCCGTGCCGAAAAAAAGCGACAGCCATTTTTATGCTAATGAAGGGGGGGGGGGTTAAATCCTCGCTTCATTAGCAATTGCGATACGACTAATTTGCATCCCTTTTACGAAAAAGGGATGCAATCTGGACGTAGCCGAAGTGAAAAAGGCAGCCCCATCCCAATTTATAAGCAGACAAGATACAGGTGGTCAGAACAAATGGTTAGAGCACTACCATGGTCAGTTTTTATTTTACCAAAAATAAATCTTCTGATTTATATTTTCATAATGTATTCCCTCACCAAAATATTTTTTCAGGCAGAGGGGTGAAGAGTTGCTAGGCAACTAGCTACACAGTGGTCCAGCAGCAGCTGGTCTGCTCTTTTTTTTAATCCTGTCTTGCAATCTAAATTTTCCAGTAGTGGGGGAAGAGACAGAATAATACTAGAATTAATGCACACCATATTTGCAGCAGTGGAAATTGCTCTACAGATGCAAATTGCAGCCCCAACTGGTATCTACTACAATGTAAATCAGCTCTTGCTGGGATGAAACAACCTGCTGTACAGCTCATTTAGGGACCAACCCAGCTCTCATGAAAGCAAATGGGAATCTCTGTATTGAGTTTAATGGGAGCTGAACCAGGACCTCACTGTTGCAGTCTCTTTTTTTCACTATAGGGGTTCTACCTAGTGGGAGTAATTTTAATCCTTTGGAGAGGAGCGAGGAGAGAGATTGCCAAGGGCTATGCTGCATTAGAGCATCCTCCACCCTCGGCCAGAGATGGGCAATAAGCAGCCTGCGAGCTGGACGTGGTTCACCAAAGTTAGCCCCAGTGGGCTGCCAGATGCTTTATTTATCTGAAAATGTAAGTGTGGCCACTTGCAGCTCCCATTGGCTGCAGAGTGCCGTTCTTGGCCAATGGGAACTCTGGAAAGCGGTGTCCCAGTCAACGCCACGTCCCACAGCTTCTGTTGGCCAGGAACAGCAGTCTGGGGCCAACGGGAGCCTACCTGCAGATGCGCAGATAAATAAAGCATCTGGCAGTCTGCCAGGGGCTAACCCTGATGAACCAGGTCGGGCCTGAAGGCCATTTATTGCCCACTCCTGCCCTAAGCATATCTGTCTCTGCCTACCCCCGCCCACATTTTCTGCTGCAATAGCTACTGGTGAAGAGGCTGTTTCAGGCACTGTATGTCAACACAATTGGCAGGATGCTTGCTAGAGAGCTTATGGCTGATGAATGCCCTTGTTCAGTTTCTGTACAGCTGTTGGAATGTGGCTCCAAGTACAGTAATCTATGGGGAGAGTAGAGGTGGAAATACTTGCATTTAGGAGTTCGGAAACCATTCGTTAGAATTACTATTTTACAATTTCAGGCCTAAAGGCCGCAATCAAAAGAGGATGGCACTGCTCTGGGCACTGTGCAGAAATTTATTATGAAACATTCCTTGCCCCGGATGAATTTCTTTTTGCTTCATAATATCCTGTTCCAATTAATATTTCCCCCCCTAAACTCTGCCACCTGAATATTAATAGGTTGATAATTCAATGTATTTTTTATATTTTCAGCTCCACTTTGAGGATTTCAAAAACAATTTCTTTCATGGTTAAAATGTGTTTCTTTGCATAGTAATGTTCTCCTTTTTCTGTGCCAATATAAGCTTTCCTAAACTGTGCTTGCATGCTGGTACTATGTATATGTTTTGCTAGCCCCTGTTTTTGGTAGGTACTATAACTTCAACACTTAATTGTCTGTAAAGGCCTGGATTCAGTCCCCAATGAAATCAATAGAAAGACTCTCTTGTACTTTAATGGACTTTGGACTGACCTGAGACGGTGGCAGCTTCTCCCCAGGACTGGCCCAGAGTGGGTGAGAGTGAGTGCACAGGCCGCCCACCAATTTCTCCTCATGGCCAGCCCGGGGCAGCATCCCACTGCCAATTATCCCTATGGTAATTGTTGCTCCTGGAAGTGGCTGGCATGTCCCTGCAGCCCCTGAGCAAGGCAGAGCAGGGGATCTCCACATGCTGACCTTGCCTGCAGATCCCACTCCTGCAGCTACCATTGATCAATAACAGGGAACCATGGCCAGTAGAAGCTGTGAGCTCAGTGCCTGTGGATGAGGAGCAGTGCATGGTGCCATGGAACCATTGCTGTACTTGCCAGCTGCTTTCAGGAGTGGTGCAGGGCCATGGCAGGAGTAAGCCTGCCTTAACCCCACTGTTCCACCACCCGGAAGCTGTCTCAGTTAAACAGTGCCCAGCCAGATTCTGCTTCCTGAACCCATGTCCCAGCCCTGAACCTCCTCCAGCACCCAACCTCCTGCCCCAGACATGAGTCCCGCTGCACCCAAACTCCTTCCCTAAGCTTGCACCCTGAAACCCCAAATGAAATGTATAGTCATCAGATTTAAAAACAAACAAAAGGACATATTTCTTCATATAATGCACAAACAACCTGTGGAACTCTTTGCCTGAAGATGTTGTAACGGCTAATATTACAACAGTGTTGAAAAAAAGAACTAGAACATGGAGGATAGGTCCTTTAAAAATAGCTATTAGCCAGGATGGGCAGGGATGGCATTTCAGAAGCTGGGAAATGGGTGATGGCAGATGGATCACTTGATGATTATCTGTTCTGTTCATTCTCTCCGAAGCATCTGACACCAGCCACTATTGAAAGACAGGTTACTGTGTAGGTGAACCTTTGGTTTGATCCTATGGTTTCCAGACTTTTGTCTAGAGGCAAACAAAGATCTAAATCAGTTCCGTGAGGTGTCTTCTGGGGGAAGGGGGGACAGGATTGCAGCTCTAGCCCTCAGTGGGAGTAGTGCCTTAAGGAACTGGCAAAGTAAATGTAGAGGAGGAATATTGTGTTTCAGATTCTGAGCTGGTGTAAATTGCCACAGCATCATTAACTGTTGGGGAGTTGTGCTGATATATACCAGTTAAGGAATTGTATGTTGCACTTTCAGCTCTCAGGAGCATTCCTCCATTCTCCTTGGGAGCAGTGTTGTGTCATGTCAAGGTGGCTACTAACAAATGAATTTCATATTGTATGCTAGGACACTAAGACTTATATTTGTCCTTTTTTTGCTTGTTTTTCCTGAGTGACAGGTACATCTCACCAGTACCAAAAGTAAATGTTTTCTTTGTTAATTGGAAACATAACAGCAGCCTCTTCACTGGGTTACTGCAGCTGTATGAACATAAGAACAGCCGTACTGGGTCAGACCAAAGGTCCATCTAGCCCAGTAGCCTGTCTGCCGACAGTGGCCAGCACCAGGTGCCCCAGAGAGGGTGGACCGAAGACAATTATCAAGCGATTTGTCTCCTGCTATCCTTCTCCGACCTCTGACAAACAGAGGCCAGTGACACCATTTCTATCCCTTGGCTAATAGCCTTTTATGGACCTAACCTCCATGAAATCATCTAGCTTCTCTTTAAACTCTGTTATAGTCCTAGCCTTCACCGCCTCCTCTGGCAAGGAGTTCCACTGGTTGACCACACGCTGTGTGAAGAAGAACCGGACGTAGTGTGCCACCAGTGCCTGCTATTTGCAGGATGTTTTTCCTGCCCGACTTGAATTAGTGTACGCTGTAACATCTGGCAACACATTGCTTATTTTTTGTATTATGGTAATGTCTTGAGGCATCAGCTGAGATTAGGCCTGACTGTGCTAGCACTGTACCAGCATGTAGAGAGAGATGACCCTTGATCCCATGCACTGACAAGCTAAACAGAAAAGACAGTCAAAGGATGAAAGTCAGAGACTACTATTCTTAGCGTGATCAGACAACCCATTTTTAAAGGGACAGCCACATATATAAGCCCTCATGCAGGTGTCCTAACTTCTTAAAAACAGGCAAATTGTCCCCTAGCTTCTGACTCTCCCCATCAGTACTGGCAGGTCCTGCTAATGGCCAAATCCCTGCTCTCCAGCTGGCTGCCCACCAGTGGTGAGTGGGGGAGTGTCCATTGGCCAACAATGTAGATGAATGTACAAGGCTGCCAGTAGGCTGAAGCTGCAGCACAAGGGGCCAGCGGCTCCCCCTGCTGGTCCGTCAGGGCAGCCCACGCTGCATACCAGCTCTCAGCCAGCAGGTCTCTGCCCACCACATCCCATTTCTGGCCATGATTGGTGAGTGTGGGAAGGTGCCAGGGGGTAGATGGTTACATGTCATCTCTGTTGCCCACCTATTGAGCCTTTATGTGCTCCCCACTCACTATCCTCTCTCTGCTTTGCTTCTTCACCCCCACAGCTCCTCCATATCCCATGCAGTGGGGCATGTCCCACTCCCAGCACTGTGCAGAGAACCAGACCCTCACCGGAGTGCTCAGCTCACCAACAGCCTGGCCAGCAAGATCCTCCCTCTGCTCACCAATGCCCCTGTCTGGAACAGTGTCCGAGGAAAGTCCCTCTGCCCAAGCCCTGAGCCCCACCCACCCCTGCACTCCCTCCTACACACACACCAACCTCTGCCTT